TTAACATTCCTTAGCAGATGATGAAAGTTAAGATAAATTTCCATTTTATAAAATAAAAGATGTGCCAGATTATGTTTTCAGTTAATATTGTGTACAATTAAAGTGTGGAAAAACATATAAGTAAACGATTTTCAAACACCTCCTTTTACAACATTGATTTCTCCTTTGAAATGTATAAAACTCATTTATACCATGATCTACACTTTATACGTGTGTCCCTGAAACATGCATCTTTATGTAAAAAAAAAAAAAATCATTAAAATTTGCGTTTTAAGCTTTCTTCCTCATTAATTTAATTAATTAGTAAATTATTTTTATTAACTGTCATTATTTATTTAGTTTGTTACATAATTGTATTTTCTTCGTCTTGCTCTTCAAATTTTCCTGCAAAATAAAAGAAGAAGTGGTTTAACAGAATCCAAAAGCAATTTAAACAATAATATATCCCTTAAATACCCAAAACTAGCTGTGTTTATGAAAGATATATTCAGTATGATTTTCTTTATGAAATCATTTGGAATATTATGAGATGAACGAAATTCACAATATTAGAGAATAATGTGCGAATAAAATGGCACCTAATGACGCGCGGTAATCAATTTATCGACACGGCCAAGTGCTGTTATAGGACCAAAATAAGAATTTAATGCTTAAATCATTACCTATTTGCTGACTGTTATATCTTTTAGTGATGTCTGCACATGCAGCGTCCATCCACACAATGCCACCCTGAGGAGCAATGTGCGTGCTGTGTTGAACAGTCGGCCTGGGTTACGCATGCTGAAAAGGTCAACAGAGGTCAAGTACATCAAGTCTCTATATATAATGCAGTACTATATTTTTTAATTTAATTTAAACAATATTTTATTATGTATAAACGTAACAGGATTGGACAGCAGTCACTGCCTATATAAGTCCTTTCCACAATACAAAGATCAAAGTCATACATGTACAAGTAAATATTAGCTACATAACATTGAAAGATATATATATATATATATATATATATATATATATATATATATATATATATATATATATATATATTCAGTAGAATTGTATATAACAAGGCAAATTAAGAAGAAGAAGAGAAAAAAAAATATGCATATATATATATGAGCTGATGATATAATTTAAATTCATATTTTAACATAATTTTATATGACTGGCAATTATATTAAGAATTGTATAATTAAAAAAAAATTAATAAGAAAACATAAATAGGTTTTGGTTCTGTGGTTTGACAGTTGAAAAACAAGAGCAGATAAAATATCATGCAAATCGCTTTGTAGTTGCAATAAATTCTTAAACAAGTTTAAATATTGCAATATTTTGGTTGTATGTAAGATTAATGTCTCCATTTAAAATAAGTTGTAAAGATAAAGGCATTGGTAATTGCAAAGTATTAAAGTTTTGCATTAGGTTCTGTCTTTGCATACAGTATTTGGGACAATTCATAAAAAAGTGGTATGATGTTTCTGAACTAAACCCGTACATGTCACAACTTTTATCTTCCTTTAAAAAATTATTAAATAAGTCCGCATTTAAATTACTAGCATTATTTCGCAGTTGACAATGCAATATATTCATTTTACGACTTCCATAATTGTAATATTTCTTAGGTTTTATGCAGTATATATTCTTTATGGCAGTCTTGAATGATGTAAGTGAAAAAAGGGTTCCAATATTAAATGGTAAATCATTCCAAAGTCTTATAGTTGAAGGGAGGAAACTTTTCATAAATGAAGTTGTTTTGGCTTGTGGAATATGAAATGTAAGATTGTCCTGATTCCTTAAGGGATAAGAATTATCTGGTAAAATGCACTGTTGTAATAAATCTTGCAAATACTGAGGTGCTATTCCATACACTATTTTATAAAATAACACTAGTTTATGTATTTTTCTTCTTATTTCGAGAGTATCCCAACCAAGCTCTTCATAAAGCTTTGATCTTGATGAATTAATTCTTAAACCGGTTATTATTCGTGCAGCTGCAACTTGAACATCTTCAAGTAATTTTGCATCTCTTTCAGTACAATTATCCCATACAATATCTGAATATTCAAGAACAGGACGAATAAAAGCAAAATATATTTTTATCAAAGCATCCCTCTTAAGTGTGTGCTTTAACATTCTTAAGATATTTGAACGATTACAGGCTTTAGCATGAATATCAAGTATGTGGGATCTCCAATTGCCATCCTGTTGAAATCTTATTCCTAAATGAGTATGTGTTTCAACATTTTTAATAATGGGCCCATCTTCACCAAACTTAATTTTTGGATGGCAAATATTTTTCCTGCTAAAATCTAGGTTGACTGTTTTACAAGGATTGAATTCTACTGCCCATATATTAGACCAATGTTTTATTTGTCCAAGATCCTTAGTTAATAAGTTTGCAGAATTATAAATATCACCATCAACTATGACATAAAGAGAGGTGTCATCTGCAAAAAGCCTTACAGGACTTGATACTTTTTTCAGATATGTCATTAATATACAATAAGAATAAAAAGGGACCAAGGACTGACCCTTGAGGGACACCTGAATTGGTAGCTCTAGTAGTTGATGAAAAGCCATCAAGAACTACTTTTTGAGTTCTATCAGACAAGTAGTTTTCAATCCAATTAACAATTTGTTCAGATATACCATAATATTTTAGTTTATAAAGGATACCTTTATGCCATACTCTATCAAACGTTTTTGAGATGTCACAAAAGACAAATCTAATATCTTTACCTTTATCAAGACTATATATTATTGTATGATATATTTCTAGTAATTGATTAGTTGTGGAATCACCTGGTTGAAATCCAGATTGATATTTATCAATTAAATTATTTTCAAGGCAATAATTATACAAGTGCTTGAATATGATTTTTTCTAAGATTTTACATACAACTGAGGTTATTGATATTGGCCGATAGTTATTAACATCTTGTGCACTTCCTTTATTCTTATAGATGGGAGTAATTTGTGAATTTTTCCAAATATCTGAAAGTTGCCCAATAGTAAGTGAATAATTGTATAGTTTGGTAAGGGGTTTTACTATCGAGTTAGTTATATTTTTAAGAATCAAGGGTGACATACAGTCAGGACCTGGAGGTTTTGTAACATTTATAACTTGGAGCTGATCCAATACTTCCTGCTCTGTGATAACAAAATCACCAAGTGAAAAGTTCAATGGTGGTCCCGGTCCATGTAATGGTACCTCATTTTCATTGTAAAGGGTTGATACTCCAGCAAAATATTCATTAAGTGAGTTAGCTTTTTCAATAGGGTGAAAGTATGTATGATTTGAGGACTTTAAATGTGGTGGTGGTTTGTTTTTATTATTTTGTTTGGATAAAGATTTAACTATTCTCCACCATTTTCCAGGGGGTATAGATTTATCTATTTGGTCTGAAAGTTTTTGGTTGAGTCTATCTCGTGAAACTCTAATTTCGTCAATTACTTTGTTTCTTAAATTGCGGTAATGTCCCCAGTGTTGAGCATTTTGAGTTTTCACTGCTTTCTTGTGTATACGATTTCTTTTCCTCATTAGTTTTCTGATAGAATTATTCATGAAAGCTTTATCTCTGGGACGGATTGTTATGGTTTTTGTTGGGATATGTTTTTTAATGCATGCTTTTACTTTGTTTACAAAATTAGTATTTATCTCATTGATGTTATTAGAATTAAAGACATCACTGTCCCAGTACGATAATTAACATATATACCATAATTTTGCATATCATTTAATTGCTAGACATAAAATATATGTCCTAGAACTGCGATTAGGAATATTTGAAAAATTATGAAACTCCTCTCTAATTTAAACAAACTATTCGACCTTTAAGAAGTTTGACTTTTGACGAGACGGACGACTTTCATTTTTTTTTTTGTTCAGGTATGCAGGACTACGGCGAATTTCGTCAGATTTCAGTATTAACCAAAACGTTCTGTGCCTTTAATTTTTCAATTGTTTTTGTTGTTTCAATTGTTTTGTTTTGTTTGTTTTTCTTCATGTAGTAATGCCCAAAGATAATGTTCATAAAACTATATTTACATCCACTGAATATTTTTTTCCTTTATTTCTCATGAAGACCATTGCCATTAATCAGTGCATGAACAACACTGAGCAAGCCACGTGTGTAGTTTTCTTGAACAATGGCTGTTCCATCAGTTTTACATACGATGACATATTCATCTTAAAATCAATAGTTAACAAATTTTATTTTACTTTGAATGATTTTTTCATACAGATATAAATATAAACAATAAAATGCTTTCTTTGGTTGTTAGTACAGGAATTAACGTCGCAGCAATTGCAAAAAAAATTACATAAACCCGCTTACGCGGGTTATGTATATTTTTCTGCAATACCTGGGACATTGAATCCCGTACTAACAACCAAAGAAAGCATTTTATTATTTTAATTAGATTGCTTTTAGAGCAAACAATTCCCTTTTACTTATACATTAAATCTGAGATAAATTTATGTACGTTATAACATGTTCTTTAAAAAATATACTCACATCCATGTCCGTGACCACCACCACCATGTGACGGATTGCACGTGCACTGGCCGGCCTGACACGTGACGTCATATCCGCTATCACAGATGACATGTGAACAATCATCGTTATGATGGCACATCTCGGACATAACCAGTGCTGTAATTATATAATTAAGAGAAAGATGGTAATTTTACAAACAATGTATGCAGTCTTATGTATGGTTTCTTTGCACGTTCAAAGATTCAACAAGCCGCCATCTCTTTTACAATACAGACATACTTAGGCTGAGAAATAGTCTGTCATCAGAACATTCTAATATGCCCCATATAAAGTACCTTTTGAACGAATGTTTCTTTGATTCCAATATAACAAATATATAAATATATATTTGAATCAGGACATTTCCTGTTCTGAAAAATCGTAACAAATTATGTGGTCAGTCTTTTTGCCTAAACTAGAATCAGATTGACATGACTCCTTTGCTCAATATATCATTGATCATTGAGGAAAAAGGGGGAGGGGAATAACGAACAGCATTCGAAAATGTTTTAAAGAATTTAATTTTGTAAAAAGTTTGTAAAACACCGCTCCATTAAAATTTCACAGCAGGGATCAGATGCCGAGAAGGAGTAAGCATCCCATTCGACAGGTCACACCCGCCATAAGCCCTAGATATTTTGTCAGGTATACGGAGTCTGATTAGGTATTTAAAAATGGCCTAAGTTGGTATGAAACACGACAATCAACATACAGCTTTATTTTGAAACATAGTCATTATATCGACCTTCAGGAATATATGTATATTTTATTTTATTAGAACCAGCTGAAACCAGCAATAGGCGTCTACATAATAAAGTTATTTGATAAAAGGAGGAAAGAATATTTTGATTCCTTTTTTTTTCAAATTCATGTCTTTAAAATTCATGACAGAAAAATAGTTTTTGGTATAAACATGGCTTTGTTATTAGTATTAGCGTGTTAACTGGTTCATGTTTAACTAATGATGTACATACCTGCAAGAGAGCAGATGGTGATCACAAACAAGGTCTTCATGTTTTCTTTTCTTTCAAACCTTGGAACTTGAGCTTTCAAATTGCAGATGGAAATGTCAGCGTGCCCTTATATATCTGACAACAACCTTGGCCAAATCTTAAGTCTTACAGCATGTCCCATGGAATGGTTTACGGATTACGGGTTTCTATGATTAGAATATTGGTCAGTCTACGTGAAACCGACATCATTATGCAAGGTCACCAAGGTCAAACATATCAAAATAAGAATGGGCAACAATATTTGATAAAGTCAGTCGATGGGTTAGGATAATTTTGAGAAATTTCTCAAAATACTAGTATGTCCAAATGGATCAGTATACCAGTAGACATTGTATATACATTGTGTGCACTGTCTGCAGTTGACATTATAAGTTTTATTCAATAAAAATGGAAACCGTTTTCATAGATTTTGTCAAGAAAATTAAATTTGAATTAATATACGAATTTTATATATTTATTAACAATAAAAACAAATACGCAGTCAAACATTACTAGGTAAGAGGTATTGAAGTCATAGAAATTCTAGCTGACTGTATCAATTACTTTAGCAAAATTATGGGGTTTCAGCTCAAATGAACCGAGGCTCAAGTGAGTGTTTTTGATCACAATTTGTCTGACATCCATATACATGTCCGTCTTTAAACTTTTTTACTTCTCTTTCAAAACTGTACCGGGTCAGCATCATCAAAACTTACAAAAAAAAGCATCCGTGAATAAAATATTTAAATTTTACATAGAAATATACTGTATACGAAAAAAAATTCCTTAACTACAAAAAATACTGAGAATGAAAGATATGGAGATAACGAACAATATTCAATATCAAAAGTCCATAAAAAATACAACTAGGAGCAGAGCAAACACGGACCTCTAAAACATCAGATGTGGGATCAGGTGCCATGGAGGAGTTAGCATCCCCTGCCGACCGGTCACACCCGCCGTGTGCTCCTTGTCATGATCGGGAGATAACGGGAAAATCCGTCGTCTATTCGTTGTAAAAATAGTGGACTAACAATAAGTATGAAAAAACGTCAGTCAGCATTTGACTCAATGATAAATTGTACTTGCTGACAAGGCCATTGTATCGACCATAGAACTTACGAAATGATGACATTAAACGAGACTTCTGATATTCTTGTTTCATCAACCTGTTTGTCAATAATTTACCTCGTTTTAGAAATTGTTCAAACGCAGTGCATGCTCTTGCGTATCGAAACAAGTGAGATATACATGTATAAACTCCGTATGCAGGTGATGAAGGTATATTGCTGCTTAAGTAAGGGAAGTTGAAAATATAATAGTTAAAGTCATCACGTTTATCATAGAGCTTGGTTGGTAGATTAACATTTTTCAAGTAAAATATCCAAATATGAAACAGATGTGTCAGATTCTATGGTATCTTCTATCTCAAGCTCAGCAGGATATATCGTATCGACATAAATACCATTGTTAATTGACAATACGTCGTCGGTATATCTAAATGTCGAGCTGAAGGCCACATGCATCAAGTGTTCTCTTCTTTCCACGCATAAGATTTTGCACAAATTCTGCTTCATATGAATACAGAAATAGTTCTGCTAATAACGGGGCGTAATCGGTACTCATGGAAACTCCAATAGATTGTTGGAAGACCTGGTCATCAAACACCACATAGATATTGTCAATCAGAAACTCAAGCATCTTTCTGATGTCAGAGTATATTTGTGTGTACAATCAGAATGTTTTTAACAAACTAATTTTGCAAATGACCAATGACAAGGTAATTAAATTTACGAGTTCCATTTTTATTGAAAAATCAGCTGTCAATGATATCAAAAAGCCCGGACTTAAATTTATCATGGGTAATGGTTGTGTATAAAGTTGAAAAGTCGTAAGTTTTTAAGCTGTTCTTGTGATTTGAAATTGCCCAAAAGTTCCTTGGAATTTTTAAGTACCCACTACTGGTTATCACCACTTTTTGAATACATGTATATTGTTGCACAGTGCTCCGCGTCTTGAAGTTTCTCCTTCACTACTGTTGATATCTTAGTGAGAAGTAAAGAAAGAGGCTTGGTTGAACATTTACTGGAACCCGCAATGTATCTTTGTTTGTAAGGATTCATATGTAGTTTCGGAATTCAATATATATGGTAGTTCAAATTCATTTTGGTTCTTTGGGACATTAAAAATATTCAAAACTGACATATGATTTTGAAGAATTTCTTCCTTAGAAAGGGAACTAAAAGTATACAGATATATGTATGTATATATAGCGGTTTCCAATAAATGTTCTACAGAGCCTTTTTATTAACTCTGCACTACTGCATTAACAGCAAAAGCGGAAAGAAAAAACTTTATGAGTACCGCTGTACAATAATACAATATTTTCGAGAATTGGTATAAATCAGATGTAGATAATTGAAATTACTAGGAACTTTGGAAATTTGGAATCTTAAATCATTTTTGATAGTTTGCCCTATCATGACAAGGAGAACGGGGGGGGGGGGGGGGTGATTGGTCGACATGGAATGAAAACTCCTCCCTGACAACTGATCCTGTAGCTCTGATGCTTTGGTCTGATTCCAATTTGTATTGTTTCAAATGAAGTTTAGAGTTTGATAACTTTCATCTCCATATTTCATTCTTCTTCTTATGAACAGAAAGGTCATATGATAAGTCATATTAAGATGGAACCATCTACGTAGATCCAAGTTTGTTCCAATATTGGTCTAGGTGTGTAGCCTAGGATGAGGCTACAGTAGGGGATTAAGATGTGTTTCTTCTCCTGCAAAAGTGAAATTTTTAAAAATAGGTCAGGATATTCCACTGGACTTTTAAAAACTGAAGACACGATCTGTCACATCCGTTTTATATTTAGATACTTGACTATAGGAGAAAGATAAATGGCAAAGTTGCA